CAGGTTAGTTCCTCCCCGAGTGTCCCGGGTCCTTTCAGGCCGCTGCCCGGCGCTGGGCTCAGAGGGAGCGTCCGAGTGAGTCCGTGCCGGGCCCTTTAGAGGAGCTGCTGGGGCTCCCGCAGCCTCCGCGACCCTCAGGGACAGTCCCCGCTGGTTTTCACAGCCTGAGGTTGTGGGGGCGTCTCTTCCCGGCCCTGGAGCCCTGCGCTGGGGGCCTGCTGTGGGGCTGGGACCCCTCCCTCCTCTGGGAAACCTCCCCCGCCGAAATTCCCTCCTGGGTTTAACCAACAGCGCTGGGTGTGGGCCCGCGGCCGTTTCTCTGATTCAGTCCCGATCCATCGGTGTCTCTGCCCCTCCTACCGGTGCTTCTTCAGCTCCCTGGTTGTGGGGCTTCTGTGCAGCCAGATTTCAGGAGGCTCTGAGTGCTGGTGGTTCCTTATTTTAGTTGTGATTTTGGTGTACTTGTGGGATGCGTTGGGTGCAGCTGTTACTTACGCCGCCATCTTGTTGCTCTGGTCTCTAATTCCTAAATATCTTGATTTTTATCTTTTTAAAATAGGTATTACTAATTCTCATATTTTAGGAAATTTGGAAAATAAAGAAAAAATAAAAATAAAATATATGGAAATATAAAAATATAACTTATAGCTTACTTCCTGAAAGGACTATATTGTTTAAAATTCTTAAAAACATTGTTTTTTGGGTGATTGTATAATATTTCATTGTATGAATGTACAATGATATTTTTTAACTGTTTGCTTATTGTTGACCACTTAGGTGTTTTTAATTCCTTAAAAAAAAAGAAAGAAAGAAATTAAATCAAGTTTCTGCCTGTTACCTGCTATTGCTGCTCGTGAAAGTATCTGGAAGGATTTTTACCATATTTCAAGGTTATGTTTGGTATGGTAGAACTCAAAATATAAGCTATATGAAGTAAAACAAATTCACTTGCTGGGCTCCAGGCTGCACCAAAAGAGAGGATGTCATCCATCAAAGTGGCAAACCCTAAGGGATAACAAGAGGCATAATCAGCCCTAGCTAGTTTGCTCAGTGGTTAGAGCCCTGGCTCTCAGACTGAAGAGTCCCAGGTTCGATTCTGATTCTGGCCAAGGGCACGTGCCTCTTTTGCAGGCTCGATCCCCGGTCCTGGTGAGGGCACGTTTTGCAGGCACCCAATCTCTCTCCCTCTCTCTCTCTCTTTCTCTCTCTTTCTCTCCCCCCCTCCTTTCCACTCTGTCTTAAAATAATAATAATAATAATAATAAAGATAAGAAATAATAAGAGGTATGATCAGAGTAGCCGTGCCATGCCTGTTAGGATGGCATATACAAAAGGAGAGAACAAATGATGCTTTCAAATAAGATCCACAAAGAGGAAGGGAGCAAATGTTCTGTTATAATCATTGATTTGCAAATGAGCCTTTTCTCATTCAAATTTCACAGGGTCTGCTCCATTGTGGTAGCACCAGGGATTTGGATTTATTTATTTAAAAATAGTGACTTAGGTTCATGAGTAAGTTCCAGTAAGACAGCTAATTTAAATGAAACTATAGTTCACAGTCCTGCATGTAAATTTCTGTTCACAAACCTGATGATCTCCTAAAGATCTGTCAAATCTTTTCATCTATTATAGGACTACATATTTTCTTTCATTGATCTGACCAGATTTTTGTTCTAGTCCATTTAAAATATATATATATCTTTATTGATTTCAGAGAGAGGAAGGGAGAGAGAGAGATAGAAACATCAGTGATGAGAGAGTCATTAATCGGCTGCCTCCTGCACACACCGACTCGGGATCGAGCCTGCAACCGGGGCATGTGCCCTGACTGGGAGTCAAACTGAAATCTTCCGGATCCTAGGTCGATGCTCAACCGCTGAGCCACACCAGTTGGGCTGTCAGGGATCTTGCTTCCCAGGCTGCCTAACTGTCCGTTTTGAAATTTATTTCTCCAGTTTCTAATAGAGTCCAGATAGTCTTCTCATAAGTCCCCTTTGAGAATGTTTTTTTATTTCACACACAGACAGCACCTTAGGTTGATTTACTACATTATGTTAAAGAAAGTGATTTCAAAGGCATAGCATTCCTTCCCCAAGTCCAGACAACTTCCACTCTAAACAGCCTCATTATTTCCCACTCCCCTCTCAAAGTGGAGTCTTCATATAAATTTCTTCTCAGGAAGAGATTAAAAACAAAGGTACTAGCAAGGAATTTGGAACTGATTTATTGTAAATCAAAACAATGCCCTGGAAGTTCCATATTGATTTTAAACTTGGTTCTCAAAGTCAATAATCCAGTCTTTGTAGAGTCATAAATACTTGTCAAGGAAGTAGGGCAAACCATATGAACTCCAGTTCATTGTGGTGCTGGTGAGTCACAGATTCCGTTTAGTTGTACACCGTCAACAGGAGCTTGAACTTAAACTTAATTGTATAAAGATACATTAAGAATGGTTAGTATTTTTAAATGTAACAGACTATAAAATGTACCAACAAAACTATTATTCAGAGAGATATTTTGAATGCTGTACTAAAATAATCTACATGATGTAATAATCAGATTGATTAAGGCATATATGCATTTTCCACAGCCTTTCAATACAGGTTATTGAGTACATGAGTACATGGCCAGCTGTAAAAAGTATTCAAAGGAAGTAAATTTGTCTTTGACAGGTCCTGACCCTTTTTTCCCACCCTAAAACTCCTCCTAAAACCCGTTCCCAAGCCTCTAAGCTCCCTGTGAATTTATGCTGCTCCAACATTCTAACTTGGTTAGAATGTTTCATTGAGGATGGTTCTACTGTGAAGTCTTATCAACCTCAGCATCTAATTTGTTTCTGTCTCTCACTTTTCCCAGGAGAAAGAAATTATTGCTCACACAAATTAAATTTATTAGCATATGTATTAATTAAAGTGACTTAGAAACTTAAAGGTAAGCCACTCA